CCACAAGAAAACTACTGGAACTAACAGAAGATTTCAGCAAAGTTTCAGGATACAAGATAAACATATAAAAATCCGTTGGATTCCTTTACACCAACAAAGAGAACCTCAAAGAGGAAATCACGAAATCTATACCATTTCCAATAGCCCCCAAGAAGATAAAATACTTAGGAATAACTCTAACCAGAGACATAAAAGACCTATACAATGAACACTACAAGACACTACCGCAAGAAACCAAAAGAGACCTGAATAAGTGGAAAAACATACCTTGTTCATGGATAGGAAGACTCAGCATTGTGAAAATGTCAATTCTACCCAAAGCGATCTAAAGATACAATGCAATCCCGATCCAAGTTCCATTGGCATTTTTTAATGAGATGGAGAAACAACTCACCAACTTCATATGGAAAGGGAAGAGGCCCTACATAAGTAAAGCATTACTCAAGAAGAAGAAAAACATGGGAGGCCTCACACTACCTGATTTTAGAACCTATTACACCACCACAGTAGTCAAAACAACCTGGTACTGGTACAACAACAGATATATAGACCAATGGAACAGAATTGAAAATTGAGAACCCAGACATAAATTCATCCACCTATGAGCAGCTGATATTTGACAAAGGCCCAAAGTCTGTTAATCGGGGAAAAGACAGTCTCTTTAACAAATGGTGCTGGCATAACTGGACATCCATCTGCAAAAAACTGAAACAAGACCCATACCTCACACCATGCACAAAAACTAACTCAAAATGGATCAAAGACTTAAATATAAAATCGAAAATGATAAAGATCATGGAAGAACAAACAGGAACAATGCTAGGAGCCATAATATATGACATAAACACCATACAAACTGTTAAGTAACAAGGCACAAGCACTAGAAGAGAGGCTAGATAACTGGGAGCTTCTGAAAATCAAACACTTACGTTCATCAAAAGACTTCACCAAAAGAGTCAAAAGACAACCTATAAACTGGGAAAAAATTTTTGGCTACGACAAATCCGATCAGTGTCTACTCTCTAAAATCTACAAGATACTGTAAAACCTCAACAACAAAAAGACAAATAATCCAATTAAAAAATGGGCAAAGGATATGAACAGACACTTCGCCAAAGAAGCTATTCAGGTGGCTAACAGACACATGAAGAAATGCTGACAATCACCAGCCATTAGAGAAATGCAGACCAAAACTACACTGAGATATCATCTTACCTCAACAAGGCTAGCATTAATTCAAAAAACACAAAATAATAAATGCTGGAGAGGATGTGGAGCGAATGGAACACTTACACACTGTTGATGGGAATGTAAAATGGTACAAGCACTTTGGAAATCGATTTGGCACTTCCTTAAAAAGCTAGAAATAGGAGTACCATACGATCCAGCTATCCCGCTCCTTGGAATATATCCTAGAGAAGTAAGAGCTGTCACACAAATATATATATGCACACCCATGTTCATTGCAGCACTGTTCACAATAACAAAAAGATGGAAACAACCTAAGTGCCCACGAACGGACAAATGGATAAACAAATTATGGTATATCCACACAATGGAATACTATGCAACGATAAAGAACAACGATGAAGCCGTGAAACATAACGTGGAGGAAGCTGGAGGTCATTATGCTGAGTGAATTCAGTCAGTCACAGAAGGACAAGTATTGTACAAGACCACTATAATAAGACCTCAAGAAAATGTTTAAACACAGAAGACAACATTCTTTGATGGTTACGAGGGTGGGGAGGGAGGGTAAAGGTTATTCACCAACTAGATAATAGACAAGTATTATCTTAGGTGACGGGAAGTCAGCACAACTGGACTGAACCAAAGCTAAGAAGTCTCCTGAATACAATCAAACACTTTGAGGGACAGAGTAGCAGGGGAAGGGATCTAGGGACCATGCTTTCAAGGGACATCTAGGTCAATTGGTATAACAAAGCTTATTAAGAAAACGTTCTGCATCCTACTTCAGTGAGTGGCATGTGGGGTCTTAAAAGCTTGCAAGCAGCCATCTAAGATGCACCAATTGGTCCCAACCACCTGGAGTAAAGGAGAATGAAGAACAACAATAACGAGGACAGTATTAGCCCAAGAGACAGAACAGGTCACATAAACCAGGGACTTCATCAGCCTGAGACCAGAAGAACTAGGTGGTGCCTGGCTACCACCAGTGACTGCCCTGACAGGGAATAAAACAGAGAGTCCCTGATGGAGCAGGAGAAAGGTGGGGTGCAGAACTCAAATTCTAGTAAGAAGACCAGACTTAATGGTCTGAGACTGGAGGAACCTTGGAAAGCATGGTTCCTAGATTCTCTATAAGCCCAGAACTCAAATTTCTGAGGCCAACTGTTCAGACAGGGATTGGACTGGACTGTGGGACATAAGTGACACTTACAACGAGCATACCTCTTAGCTCAAGTAGATACAAGAGACTAAATGGGCAGCTTCTGTTCAGAGGTGAGATGGGAAGGCAGAGAGGGTCAGGAGCTGGTCGAATGGACATTGGGAATCAGGGGTGGAAAGGAAGAGTGTGCTGTCACTATGGGGAGAGCAATTAGGGTCACATAACAATGTGTATAAATTTTTGTATGGGAGACTAACTTGAAATGTAAACTTCATCTAAACAACAACAATAAGATAAATAAAAATAAAAAAGTGGTTTTGTACATTAGAATCAGCTTCAAAACTCTGACTATCAACACCTTGCTTCCAGTCCAAGCCCAATCTATCTGAGTCACTGGAGGTCGGCATCTGTATTTCTTTTAATGCTCTCCAGATGCACACAGAGTGCACACAGATCTCTCCAGATGCACACTGAGAACCACCAATTTAGACTTCAATGTGGAATTAATCGCAAAGACTTTTAGACATCTTAATCAATAAAATAATATGATCTTTAGGATTTAAGTCAGCCACAGAACAAGGCTGGATATTCTTGGGTACTTCTGACACTTTTTATTAATCAATCCCTGCAGGTCAGCCTTGCACATTTTTTTTTTTAATATTAATAGTCATATTTAGTGAAAATAGATATCACAGTGAGGTTTCACCCCTTGTTTATATATTTTTGGTGGCCTGATCAATGTAACTTTCCTCATTTTGGTATAAGAAAGTCAGCTTTTAGACCTAAGTGTACGCACGAAATCAGTCAGTCACAGGAAAAGGTAAGTCAGAAGAAATCAGGACTAAAAGCTGGGTCAAGATGGTTAGTGTGAATCTTAAAGAAACAGCTAGCCATGATTCAAGACGCTGAGAAAAAAAACAGAAGGTTCGGGCAAAGTTCGAGACGAGGCAGGACGAGTATGACTGGCATTCAGTGGCCCAAGCACAGCAAAGGAGACAAACGTAACCACTCAGATGCCAAACTGGGCATGAAGAAAGAGGCAGGAGCTTGGATTAGGAGGCAAGAAAAAGTATATCAGAATCTAGATGAGTCATATGGATCCACCAAAAAAACTGATCTCTTGAGCTAAAAGCCCACTGCCTGGAAGGTGGGAGTGGAAAGGGCTATTAGGTTGGGTTTCAGTAGAGGAAGCAGGGTTTGCACATACCAGTGACTGCAGCAGAGCATTACTTCCTGTTGAGCCCTTGTCAGGTCTAAAAATAAGTGTCATATATAATAATGAAGTCCTATAGTTAAAAAGGACCTTAAAAGCAATTTAGTTTAACCATCCACCCAATGCTATAGGCCTGGATTTCATCAATCCCTTTCCAAAACATGGAAAATAAATATGTCATCATCTTCTACAAAGATAAAAGAATGGTAGGAATGAGCTGACTTTCCATAATGATTTACATTGATTCAAAGTATCACTAAGTAAAATTTAAACTTTTAGTTCATCATTTGTATTCAAAAACAACTTGAGAAGCGTAAACAGGTCATTTTCCTTCACAGAAAGAACTTTTAAAATTAACAGTTAAAATGCTTAGCACCCCACTCTATCGCTATGCATTTTTTCAGACCGAAGGATATCAAAAAAAGTTTAATCCTTCATGAATTACTTGTGACCTACTGTCCAAAACATTTGCTCCTTGAGTTGCTTTTCTAGCTGTGGTAATTTACACTTTGAACTAAATAATCTGGTTAGTCTAATGTGGCCTCACTCCCATCCCCTCCACCCACCCTCCTTTATGGCCAATGAGACGCAATGGAACTGAAATTTTCTATAAGCAGACTGACTCTTCGACAAGAGTAATGAACTCATGAAGAGGCAAGCCCTAACCCTTTTCTTTGACAGATGATGGCCTACAGATCTTAGTTCTCATTGTGACATGCTAATTTACAAACCTGCTTTGATACTTTATAGCATGTTTATCACAAATCACAGGAAGTGGTTCATTACTGTTTGGGGTAGGAATCTCACTTCAGTAGGGCAGTACGTAAAAAACCTAAAATTCTGATGAACTATTATATGGGTACAAATTTGATTCCTGAAAGAATTATAGACTTCAATCCTTCCTACAATGGTTGTAAGCTCGAATGAGGGCAACATCTAAATCTGCTCAAACAGCCCAGGAAAAGGTTAGCTGTACAAAGTAGTTGAGTTCGTAATCTCACTTAATCACTGAGTTATCAATTTAGACTCCTCAGTTTAACTTTTTTCTTTTATAAAAACAACGTTACGTAGTTATCATAAAGATAACAGATTCAGAATGTACACAGGAAACTAAAAATTACCCATAATTCAACCATCTAGTATATGGAAACAACCTGTTAATATTTTGTTGTACTTCTGTTTTCTTCTCAGAATTTTTTAATACACTTGAAATCACACAGTATAAAATTTGTGTTCTGCTTTTTTGCTTAATATTACAGCTATTCAAGTGCTATAAAAGATTACAGCTATTAAAATGCTATAATAAGATTCATTTAACCATTTCCTTACTGTTGGACACATAGGATGTTTTTCATTTTTAATATTCTAAAAAAGCATCACAAAGATATTTATTTACAAATATTTTTCTATAACATATATTTAAATACATATCCTTACCAGATTCTCCAGCACTGAAATGATCAAATGGATTCCCTTCAGCATCTGGATTTAGTAACATCATTTCAAATTGGATATCTTCCACCTGAGAATTCTCAAAGTCATCTTTGCACGTATACTTGTCTGCATAAAACACGTGCCATGTTTGTGGATGCGGAATCTGGGACACTGTCAGATTATGTTCAGTCTGATTCACAGTCACTTTAAAGAGAAAGAAAATAGCACTTTCAAAGCAACACTCTCAAATGTGTTCATTGTTTTAGTCATATAATCAATTTGAGGTTAGAATCCTTTTATTTAGTTCTTATTGCTTCGGAAATTCCGGTAAAGTACTGGAATAAAGCCTGCAAATCATACAGCAGATAAAAATGATGCATTTTAACCAAAAGGATCACAGACTAGTACCTGAAACACCAGAAATGAGTAGAATGGTTTCAATGAAACTTTAAATTTTAAATACCTTCAAAGTTTCCATGTGGGTTTAGCGACATTTCTGGAAATCACTTATTTGAGTTAAATTTAAAATGGATCATGAGGAAATCATTATATCTGAAACCTATGACAGACAAATACTTTCAACAGATCTTTTAAAATCTCTTTTCAACTGGTTATTCTTAAAAAAATGCACTGCAAGTAGAAAAACAGAAATTACAGGAATCTAAGAATGACTACACCGATCATGTGTATCTGATGTAGTATGATATCCAAAAAACCAGACCTGGTGCTGTCAAGTTGATTCCAACTCATAGCGACCCTACAGGACACAGTAGAACCGTCCCACAGAGTTTCTAAGGAAGGGCTGGTGGATTTGAACCGCCGCCCTTTTGGTTGGCATCCATAGGTTTTAACCACTACGCCATATAGTGGGACAAAAACCTCACAGATGTTGGCATCAGAAAGACCTGTGTTTGAATCCTGGCTCCAACACTTATCTGCTGTTATGACCTTGGGCAAGTAATGTAAGCACTGACACTCAGTTTCTCCATCTGTAAAATGAAGAAAATACCTACAGCAGATAAGTGACTTAAGATCTAAATTGAGGCACTTAGCATTACATCTATCATAGAGAACAAAAACAAAACAACAACAACAACAAAAAACCAAACCTGTTGCTGGCAAATTGATTCCGACTCATAGCAACCCTACAGGACAGAGTAGAACTGCCCCATGTGGTTTCCAAGAAGCAGCTGGTGGATATGAACTGCCAACATTCTGGTTAGCAGCCAAACGCTTAACCATTGCGCCCGCAGGGCCCCCACATCTAACATAGAGTAGCTGCTAAATAAATTTTTCCTTTTTCTCCCTTTAAAACAAGGTGGTTATATCAATAAGTGGTTCTCAATCCAGGTTAATCCTGCTTCCCCTCCAGGGCATTTACAAATGTGTAGAGACAGTTACCTTGTCACAATAGCTGGGAAAATATTTTGAGGGGGCTGTGGTAAACTTCATGCAATGCAAGGTAAAGTCTCACACAACGAAGAATCATTCCACCCAAAAGGCCAATAGCATTCCCTTTGAGAAATATAGGGATGTTTAAGATCCCTTCCAGATCTAAAGTATGGTTCTGACCTAAGAAGCACTGACCATGACTATTACAGACAGAGCTGTAGGACAGCAGTGTCCTATACACGATTTATCATGAAAACAGCAGCAGAGTTACAGCAAGTCTGGGACCTACTACTTACTAACCTTATGACTCAGTGAATAAATTACTTCACCTCTGTCAATGTGGTTCTTCAACAGTACAAGGGAGATACCTGCCTAGCCAGCTCAGAGGTCTGGTGAGGAGCAAATCAAACAGTACATGAAAGTCCTGTGTGAAGAATATGATTCTAAACAAAGTCTGGTTGTTGTTAGCTGCCATCAAGTCGATTCCGACTCATGGTGACGCCACGTGCATCAGAGTAGAAGGGATCCACAGTGTTCTCAAAGCTGTGACCTTTCAGAGGCAGAAAGCCAGGCTGGTCTTCTGAGAAGCCTCTGGGTGGGTTCAAGTCACCAACCTTCCGGCTGGTAGTTCAGCACATAACCCTTTGCTCCACTCAGGGACCTCCTACTCATTTTCTTAGGTATCATAATGCTACTGTGGTTATGTAGAAGAATGTCTTCATTCTTAAGAGATGCATGCTGAAATATAGAGGGGTGCAGTGCTCATGATAGCCACAGCTTACAAATATAACTATCACACACAAAAAATATAAAGCAGATGTATACATACATATATATATACACACATTATTATATCTAGGTAGACGGTATACCGCTGTTGGATATACTATACTTTCAACTTTTATGCATGATTGAAAATGTTCCTAATAAAAAGTTGGGAGACGTTGTCCTTATGAATAAGATACAGATGCATCTGGTCTGGATTCAAATTTGAGGATTTGGACTTTACAAACGGGAAGTCATTCGTTAGCAGTCAAGATGGACAAGATGATTTTATCAACGATACCACAGCACTGCTTTTTGGGCTATCTTAAGTTAGCTGACATTCATAATGTTTACTTACTGTACAGCTTCTTTTACTAAAAATGCAGCAAAGACTCTAGTTTCTGTTAAATGTTTGAAGACCTTTAATAAAAACTGAACATATGATGCAAAAAAAAAAAAAATTAAAACGACTCAGAGAAAAGGTTTTTTACATATGGATCTTGCAATTACTACACGATCTGGACCTCATTATTTAAAGAGCTCTACTGCGTTGTTGTTTTATCACCTGTACTTTTTCCCTTAGATAAAATATATAAAAATTAACTATTACTTTTGGACGTTTCGTTTTAAATTATGTGGACTTGCATCAAACAGAAACACGTGTGCTGCATAACAGTGAGGCTGGCCTTTGGGTTTTGTCTTACTGCCTTTTCAGCAAGCTTGGGAAACAAGCCTCTTGACAAAACTGTGTTCATTGTTTTTGAAACAAAAGACTACACCACAGCATGCATATTCTGTTCTGGAGTAATTAGTACCTCAAATAATAACAAAACTTGAAATGAATGGTGTTGAATGGCTAATTGCTCAATTATATTGTAAAAGAAAATGAACACTGTTAACCAAAACACACAAATAAAATAACACCTTTAAATGATTTATCAAATATACAAATGTACAAAATAAAACATCCTAAGCACAAAATGCAAACAGACAATACTGAAGATATTTTAAATACAAAATTATGTTTAGCTCTTGAAATGTGACAGCAAATTACTCTGAATTTACTTGTTAAATTTTTTTGAAACAGAAACTTACAAACCCATCATGTTCAGTGTTTTTAAATGTGTTATTTGCTTGCTTTAAAAACTTGCCAAGTATTTTTTAGAATGTTCAAAAATTTGTTGATGTTTTATGATATTACTGAAAGAGAACAAACGCAGATTAAACAATATCTTCTCAAACATTAATTGAAAAGATGAATCAAGCAACATTTGACACTATACGATTTTCAAATCTGCTAGTCTTTTCATAGTTCATAGCAGCAGAAACGTTGTACACGGAAGGAAGGTAGAGTTAATGAGCTCATTAGGAAGCGTAGGTGAAAGGCTGTTAATTCTGAAAAGCCTCATTAATGGCCAGGAAATGCACTTGCTACTAGGAATTACTTTAAAGTACACAGCACAATTATACTCTACTGAATTTAACGACATGTTTTTTTATTTCAATGCACCTAAATTCCTACGTAGTAAAATACTATAAACACAACATCTAATATATGAAAGCTAGAAATAGCAGACTTTCTTAACACTTGGATTCTGTTACTGGTGATACCTTTATCACTAGTATTAATTTGTTTCAGGGCCCCTAAACTGCTTGTTCTTCTAAAATTCCTGTTTCCTGACATCTTCCATTCCATTCCATAATTCCAAAGAACACCCCAGCACTCTACAGAGTAGGGAAAAGGAGGGGAAATATAAACAGAAACAACAGCAAGAGGTTTTGTAAGTTATAGTCCTACACAGAAGTAATTCCTACCCTAAAGAGCTATAATTAGAACCACAAAATTTTATGACTGTAAGAAACCTCAGAGAAATTGAGCCCGACTTCCTTGCTGTAGAGGTAACAGTGAGGCTCAAAAATGTCAAATGCCAAGGTATCATTACAAGCTACCAGCAATGACTCTTAGCTTAGTGGTCTTTCTATTACACCATACTGTTTCCCTACAGATACAAGTTCTGTGAAGGCAGGTACATGCCACATACAGAAATTATGTTTTTGCAAGGATATGGTATATATTGACCATGTAAGAAAACAAATTGATTTCTATAGCTCAAAGCTTTAAACTTCCTGATAAGTTTTTCTTGGCGAAAAAAAAAGTCTTTGGGGTATCAAGTATAAAGCAAACTACCTACCAGACAAAAACTCCTCAAGCACTAAGCTCTATGACAATTCATCCTACGAAAACTTAAGTGAATTTGCTTACTAGGCAATGGTTAAGAGCTCGACTGCTAACCAAAAAAATCAGCAGTTCAAATCCACCAGCCACTCCTTGGAAACCCTACAGGGCAGTTCTGCTCCATCCTATAGGGTGGCTACAAGTCAAAATCGACTCGACAGCAACAGGTTTGGTTTCGTCTGCTCAGGGTATCATAAGTTCTCATTCTCAAAGTACCATGTAACCAACATTCATAGCACTTATCACAACTCCAATTTCATGTGTATTCACATACCACAATTGCAATTTCACATTTATTCACATTGATCCATCATTCCTGTCACTGCAACAACCTGTAAGTTTCTTAAGAACTGAGAGAGTGTCAAGTACTTTGGTCACTGATACACTACCAGTACCTAGCATTGTACACTAAAGCGAAAGGAAGACATGATGAAGTAAAAGAGGTGAACAGAAGATTTCAAAACGTGGCTCAAGAAGACAAAGTATTATAATGAAATGTGCAAAGACCGGAAGTTAGAAAACCAAAAGGGATGAACATGCTCAGCATTTCTCAAGCTGAAAGAACTGAAGAGAAAATTCAAACCTCAAGCTGCAATACTGAAGGACTCTACAGGGAAAATATCAAATGATGCAGAAAGCATCAAAAGAAGATGGAAGGAATATACTGAGGCACTATACCAAAGAGAACTGGTTGATGTTCAACCAGTTCAAGAGGTAGCGTTATGATCAAGAACCAATGGTACTGAAAGAAAAAGTCCAAGCTGCACTGAAGGCATTGGTGAGAAACAGGGCTCCAGAAACTGATGGAATACCAATTGAGATGTTTCAACAAACAGATGCAGTGCTGGAAGCACTCACATGTCTATGCTAAGAAATTGAAAGACAGTTACCTGGCCAACTGACTGGAAGAGATCCATACCTGTGCCCTTTCCAAAGAAAAGTGATCCAATAGAATGTGGGAGTTATCGAACAATATCATTAATATCACACGCAAGTAAAATTTTGCTCAAGATCATTCAAAAGCAGTTGTAGGAGTACACCGACGGGGAACTGCCAGAAATTCAAGCTAGCTTCAGAAGAGGACGTGGAACAAGAGATATCATTGCTGATGTCAGATGGATTTTGGCTGAAAGCAGAGAATACCAGAGAGATGTTTATCTGTATTTTATTGACTATGCAAAGGCATTCGACTGTGTGGATCGTAACAAATTATAGATAACATCACGAAGAATGGGAATTCCAGAATACTTAATTATGTTCATGAGGAACCTGTACATAGATCAAGAGGTAATCATTCAGATAGAACAAGGGAATATTGTGTGTTTTAAAATAAGGAAAGATATGTTTCAGGATTGTATCGTTTCACCATATTTATTCAATCTGTATGCTCAGGAAATAATCAGAGAAACTGGACTATATGAGGAAGAACGGGGCATTAGGATTGGAGGAAGTCTCATTAACAACCTGCAATAAGCAGATGACACACCTTGCTTGCTGGAAGTGAAGAGGACTTGTAGCCCTTACTGATGAAGATCAAAGACTAGAGCCTTCGGTATGGATTACACCTTAACATAAACGAAACAAAAATCCTCATAACTGGACCAATAAGTAACATCATGATAAGTGGAGAAAAAGCTGAAGTTGTCAAGGATTTCATTTTACTTGGATTCACAATCAATGCCCAAGGAAGCAGCAGTCAAGAAATCAAATGACGCATTGCATTGGGCAAAAGACCTCTTTAAAGTGTTAAAAAGCAAAGATGTCACTTTAAGGACTAAGGTGCGCCTAACTCAAGCCATGGTATTTTCAATAGCCTCACATGCATGAGAAAGCCGGACAATGAATAAAGAAGATTGAAGAAGAATTGATGCCTTTGAATTTATGATGTTGGTGAAGAATAATAAATATTCCATGGACTGCCAGAAGAATGAACAAATCTGTCTTGGGAGAAGTACAGCCAAAATGTTCATTAGAAGCAAGGATGGTGAGACATCATCTCACATACTTTGGACAGGTTATCCGGAGGGACCGTCCCTGGAGAAGCACATCGTGCTTGGTAAAGTAGAGGGTCAGCAAAAAAGAGGAAGACCCACAACGAGATGGATTTACACAATGGCTGCAACGCTGGGCTCAAGCATGGCAACAACTATGAGGATGGCGCAGGACTGGGTAGTGTTTAGTTCTGTTGTACATGGGGTCGCTGAGGCAGAACCAACTCGATGGCACCACCAACAGCAGCACAGTACATAAAAAATTTAAAGTGCACGCTAAACAAATGAGTGAACAGACTAAAAAACCCTTATTGTTCTCACTGATTGATTTTAAAACAATTACATAAAATGTTAAATGGCAAGTACTAACAGTGCTGTGTAGGAGAATAAGAGGCTATAAAATCAGGTGTTAACTTAGGAGGCTGGGGAGGATCAGAAGAGGCAATAGAAGAAGAGCAGAGGAAAAAGCCTGGGCAAAGACCCAGGTGAGCATTGAAATAAAACGAGCCTTCCAAATAAAATGAAGTGTGAGGAGTGCAATGCTATGAGCTGAGGCTTGAAGGACAGGCAGGGGCCGGACTGTGCTGGTTTTGCCCATCAGGCCAAGGACGCCAGGCCTTGTCCTAAGAGCAGCAGGAATCGCCTAAAATATTTTAAGAGTGTGGCCAGGAAGTTACAGTGACACGATCAAATCGGATGTTCAGAAAGATCACTCTGGTTACAGACGGGGACCAGCGTGACAACAGAGTCACGAGATAGGAAGGAGGCTATTGAAATAGTTCAGACAACAGATTACGGCAGCTTGGAATAACGTGGTGATAGAGATGAAGAGAAGTGGATAAATTCAAGAGACATTCAGAAAACCTCAGGACTTACTGACAGATTGGAAGGGGGTAGAAATGTCAAAGAGGGAAGTGTTAGAAGACTCCTTGGTTTCTAGCTTGTTTATTGGCTGGGTGGTGGTACCAGTTTCTGAAACAAGAAACACTGGAAGAGGGTCGGGTTTGGATGAGGAAGATGGTGAGCCCATTTTTGGACATCACAAGAACAGGGAACTGCAGGCCAAAAACTTTTTATATATATGTGAAACACTAGATGAGCAAGTTGGTGTAGAAACGAAACGCTAGCTAGAAATCAGCATTTGCAGTAAGTCCTCAAGTTCAAGGTTGAGGAGAGTAATTGTATGCAATAAACTTCTCTGACATGGGAGTCTAATTATTCAGACCTCTTCAGCATACCTTCACCATCATATCACCTATATGGACAGTCTCATATTGGTGGCAAGGATCCTCTACTCTTATACCTATTCTAGCTAGGTGCCTAATAAGGGAACCAGACAGCTGCGAAGATTAAGAAGACAGGATGCTTAGAAATGAAGACTGTTTTACTCGACTAGACTAAAAGAAGATCAGAGTCTTATCCATATGTAGAACATGGTGTGGGAGATAAAGGAGAAAAAAGGGAAAAAGGGATAATTTCTACTTTTTTTCTCCTGGGAGCTTCAAATTCCTAATTCTCCAGGAGACAGTATGGGTATAACTGCACATGTTCTTCGTTTCTACATGAAAAAAAAAAATTGTGTTCACTCTGAATGGTTGATGCCATGCTTGGGATAGCGTTCATGAGAATGAATGAGTTCCAGATTCAGCAACTAGGTTAGGATAATAAAGGCAGAGCCTCTCCAGAGGAAAGCCCAGACGTTTACAAATGATGTGGTCGTGACACATTTCAAAATGACAGCTCTTGACCAAATGACTAGGACTCGTGTTCCAATACCATGGTGCAAAACATCATCACTTGGGCTAATTTACTCAATTAACTGACATAATAAATGTTTAGTGCTCAGCTCAGTGCTGAAAGATAATATGCACTCGACAAATGTTATCCTTCACTCCATGTTGCCATTGGGTCAAAATATGCCTGGCATGCTGGCATGAATTCTGTGTCCGAATGAAGAAAAGTATCCCTTTATAAAATATTTGAATTTTTTTTTCAAGAATTTTGAATGATAAAGCGGGGGAGAAATGAAGTCTATCTTTTGATCAAAGAAAAGTTGGTTTCCTTAAACCTCAGCTTCAAACCAACTAAAACTGTCATCATAGTGGGATGTGCACTGTGTCATCACAATACACGAAACACCTTAGTATGTAAATACTGTACTTCAACATTCAGGAGTAAAAAAACACATCTAATGATCAAAGGAAAAAGGACATACTCACTTGTCAACAGAGCTTTGGATAATTTTTCGCTACAACTATAACCATGACTGCTTTCCTGCAGCTTCAGCCATTCCTGAGCTGGGAACAGGTAGAGTTTAGCTTCTTTTCCAACAGCTGTTGCTATGTTGCTGATTCTGACACGCAGAAGAGCATGGTCACCTAGACATTAAAACAAAAAGTACAGATGAGTTTGGTCTCCAATGGAACTGAGATGATAGACATTCTTTTAACATCTCTGTACATTTTACTTGGATCCACAATCAACGCCCATGGAAGCAGCAGTCAAGAAATCAAACGACACACTGCATTGGGCAAATCTGCTGCAAAAGACCTTTTTAAAGTATTAAAAAGCAAAGATGTCATGAAGACTAAGGCATACCTGACCTAAGCCATGGTATTTTCAAGCTCCTCACATGCATGAGAAAACTGGATAATGAATAAGGAAGAACAAAAACTGACGCATCAGAATTATGCTATTTGTCTTAGTCATCTAGTGCTGCTCTAACAGAAATACCACAAGTTTTAACAAAGAGAAATTTATTTTCTCACAGTCCAGTAGGCTAGAAGTCCAAATTCAGGGCGTCAGCTCCAGGGGAAGGCTTTCTCTCTCTGTCTGGTCTGGAGGAAGGTCCTCGTCACCATCAGTCTTCCCCTGGACTAGGAGCTTCTCTGCACAGGAACCTCGGGTCCAAAGGACATGCTCTGCTCCCAGGGCTTCTTTCTTGGTGGTATGAGGTCCCCCACTCTCCGCTTGCTTCCCTTTCCTTTTATCTCTTACAAGAGACAAAAGGTGGTACGGCCCACACCCCAGGAAAACTCCCTTTACATTGGATCAGGGATGTGATGGGTTAGGGTGGTGTTACAATCCCACCCTAATCCTTTTTAATGTAAAATTACAATCACAAAATGCAGGACAATCATACAACACTGGGAATCATGGCCTAGCCAAATTGATGAACACATTTTTGGGAGGACACAATTCAATCCATGACAGTATTCATGAAGAATAATGAATATACTACGGACTTCAGAAGAATGAACAAATCTGTCTTGGAAGAAGTACAGCCAGAGTGCTCCTCAGAATGGAGGATGGCGAGACTACGTCTCACTTACTTTGGACATATTATCAGGAGGGATCAGTCCCTGGAGAAGAACATCATGCTTGGTAAAGTAGAGGGTCAGCAAAAAAGAGAAAGACCCTCAATGTGGACTGACACAGTGTCTGCAACAATAGGCTCAAGCATAACAATGACCATGAGGACGGCGCAGAACCGGGCAGTGTTTCATTCTGTTGCACGCAGGGTCGCTATGAGTCGGAACCGACTCACCAGCATCTAACAACAACAACAAGTTTAACTAGATGAGTTTGGGGGTAAACTTTTATGCCTGATACAAAATTTATCTGTTACTCTTACAAGAGAAATTTCAGAGCAATATATGTAGTGAAATTAATATAGAATGAACCTGGTTTCATGCACCCACTACATTTAAGGCCCAGAAGAGAAATGGAAAAAAGTAGCTGCCTCTGGGGAAAGAGGCTCTGGGTGAGGAGAGGCGAAGCAAGAGACTGTTGTTTTATTTTTGATTTTAAGATCTTCTGTTCTGTATTTTTTATTTTTTTACTTTTGTTACGGTAACGATCACGTTGAGTAAACATTTTAAGTAAATTTAAATGCAGAACATGCATCAAAGAATGTCTAGACCTCTTACATCAATCAATTATAAATTATCAAAAGTCTTAAACATGGTATATACCATGACTCTAAAGCCCTATCAGCATCTTAATGTGCATTCCGAATCAGAATTCATTATTGCAGTATAGTTTTAGGGTTATTATCTGACTAAATCTGAATTCATTGAATATTGGTAATAACTAATACACACACACACACACACACACACACAGATAAAATATGCTTAGAATACCTTATTCCTCAATCGTTCTTGAGAAGTCTAGATTTAGTATATGTTTTCCCTCTATGTTTACCAGATAATCATCATAAAATACTGGGGTTGGCTAAGTCACTCCCCTATCACAGCTACGGCACACCCAGGATTTTTTAGCACTGTCCAGATTATGCCATCTCTTACACTGACATTATTGTCACTGTCAGTACTCACTAGTTACAACCAGCTCAGAAAGTGAAAAATGTGAAAATGTGACCAAAAAAACAATAAAACTCTTATTACTGATGAAGGGTTTCATCTTCATTCACTCAAGGTGTATTTCTCACTGGGTTTTGAAAACTGGGTTGCATCTACTTTTCCCAGTTATCTTAAAAAGTACAAATTGAAAAAAATATGTATCAGCTACTCTTCCTTTTACATCACCAATTCTGAAATTTCCCCTCATACTTTAAATTCCTTTTCAACACCAAAGTTGCTTCGTTTTTCTGTCACTTCCTCCTAAAAATCCTCTTGAGGCCAATATTCTGAGCATCATAGTTACAGCTTTTAATTCTAAAGACGGTATGAATTGAACCAAGGATCGTAATCTCATCTAGGCAAATACTACCAGAAATACAGCACCAGTCAAATTAAGGGGTACTAGGAGGATGTACTAAGCAAACTACTTAAATTTTGAGGATGCAATATATAAAGCAAAAATTAGAATGAACTGCAAGTTCATTCACTGAAGAAGTAATTATTGATTTTGGAGAAAGACCAGAAGGTGAGGATCAAATGCAGCTGATTTCAGTAGTGACAGAGATGATACAAATTATGAAGCTTCAAGGACGCTAATTACCGTCATTCTGTCAGCTTAATTTTAGGCCTCACGATCCACAGTAAATCTACTCCACCAGTAGCTCAGCAACCATACTGTTATAGCAATAGTGACAACTAGATTATCAGGTGTTTTACCTCGTTCCCAAAACCTCTTTGTTGCAAGAGGGTTTTATCAAATTGGTCCGGGGAAAAAACAAACACGAAATTTAAGTTCCTTGGCTTAAATTCACACGTAACTACGGTGCTTAGGGAAGCATTAGGCTGAGACAAGAGTGAGCAAACGATGCTTCTTTGAGGGAAGAATCTCGAAAGATGATGCTGACCAGTCATTTTTCCATTCGTTTGTACGGGGAGGGGAGGGAAATGGTCTTTTGGGTGCAGAATACCAACATTAATCCTGTGAGGTTGCTGACCAAGGTCGGGGGCGCTGCACCAGTGGGGTTGGCAATACAAGCATTGCGATTCCGGGGAGCTGCGGAGGGGTGGGCTGCCTGCGGCGCTGAAGTGCAGGTGAGGCTGGGGCGCGCACAGCCTCCCCTCGGCGCCGCGGGGCCCAGGCCTTCCCCCGGGAGGCGGAGAGGAGCGGGCCGGCCGGTGGGATGGACCCACGCGCCTTCATCCCTCTCCTCGCCCGCGGACCTACCGTGGAATTCGAAGTGGCCGATGCTCTGCCCCTGAGCGTCTCGGGCCGCAGCGCTGCTGAAGTGGCCCCGCAGGGTCTTACCCTGGCTGCCATGCGGCCACCAGCAGCACGTGAGGGCCACTGCCAGCAGCCGCAGCCCCCCCATCCCCGCCTCCCACTCCTCACCTACGCCCCGGGCCCAACCGCCTCGGCTGCCGACCCCACGTCGGCAGCAGGGGAGGGGGGAAGGGCGGGGCCTGACTTCAGGACCAGCTTACGGGAAGAATGACACCCAATGAAACGGGCCCCTCCGCCACGTGCCAAACATATTCACCAATCAGAGGCTGAGGTGGGCGGGACGTGCAGATCCGCGCGTCCCATCATTCCCCTGCTTTTTGCTAGTTCCCGCCTTTTTTTATGGAGTCTGAGGAGGATGCTGCTTCGGGTTACGGAAAAATTATTGCACTCCGCCGCGTTCTTGCGCGGTGTGCTCGTACGCATGCGCGGAAGCCCTGGCACCGGCGGTACTTCGAGAGATGTAGGGAATTCGGAAAGAGACATACATGATGGGGCCGGTTTTGGTGGAGAGAGGAAAACTCTCCCTCTGAGAGCAGGAATCATGTTCTTAATCAGGCTTCCCCGGCGCCTTTATAACCTACCGGACGCCTCTGCGTTAACATTTCAGAGATAATTATACCTGTGGCAGGTCACCTGTCCAAACTTTAAAGCATGACCTCTCTTAGCGTCTCCAACTGATTTTTCCCTCTCAGGTTTCCTGCCTTCTTGCAGGAAATTATAGAGTCTACGCCTCCTCACACCTCCACGTCCAATCAATTCAATTGAACAAATGTTTATCAGCACCTCTCCTCGGCCATCGAGGTAGGAAGCAGCTGCCACTATCCTATTCAGGACACCACCACCTTATCATCACTTACTTAGCCTATGGCAACAAATCTCTCTCCAGTCTTAATTAGTTCCAATTGGCTACAATCCATTGTCTACCCTAGAGCCACTGAAAGCTTTGGGAAACTCGGTTTGACTGCATACCTCTCCTATGGTGTTGAACAGGTTTCAATGGAGACTTCAGATAAAACGGACTAGAAAGAAAGCACTGGTAATCTACTTCTGAAAATCAGCCAGTTAAAATACTATGGATAATAACAGCTCGCTCTGCAACCGATCATGACGATGGCACAGGACCAGGCAGCATTTCATTCTGCTGTGCGTGGAGTCGCCAGGAGTCAGGGGTCAACTGGATGGCAGCTAAGGACAGCTCTCTCAGAGGCTCCTGACTGCCTTTACTACACAACCCAAATGCTTAAAATATGGCTCTCAAATCTCTTGTCTCAAATTTCCATCTCTATACTCCGAATTTCCATGCTTACAAGCCACTTTCAGTTAGCTGAACACTCCAAGCTCTCACATCTGGGTCTATAGCACTGGAAGTTCCCGCTGACTGGAATACTTCAGTTCTACCACTCACCCTCCACAGCCCCTTCTTTCTCCTATTTTATTCCTCTTTCCCAAGGCACTCTAAAGAAGCCTTTTCCAAAATCACAAGTCTGTGTTAGATGCCCCTGGGGCCCATGTTCCTTACTTCTGTATCAGGGCACTAATTACACTATTTCTAATTCTGTATTTATCTGAATCTCCCACTATATCGTAAACTCCAGCTGATCAGAGACTATATCTGCGTTGATAGAGAAGAAGGTCAAAATTATTTCATGAATTAATGTATATATATTTTTTCACTCAGCAACAAGGTTTTAGTACATACAGTTCTCACAAGAGCTAGATCTCACCATTTAGAAAAAGAAACCCTGGGGGAAGACATCCTATTATATACCCAGCATTTTCAGTATCTCTGGCTGACCAGGAAGGAACTTGAGGTGTTATTAGTTTAGAATTTTGAGAAATTGCACCGGTTCATTTTTAATTACCAAAGTACTGTAGTTCATACAGCTTAGGAAAAAATTCACAGTCAAAAGTATATGAAGTAAAAAACTGAAAGTCCCAATTTCCTCCTTTCCCTATTCATACTAACCCAGAAATAACCCTTGTTCATAGTTCAGGGTGGGTCTTTTCAGACCTGCATTTACAAATACATGCGGTATCTCTAAACCAAGGGCAGGAATACAGTTGGTCCTGAAGAAAAACTGGAACTTGGGCCTTGAATGCTGTGAGGCCTTTCTGTCTCTTTATCTTTCTTCTCTTCGTGATCAACTAATTTTTCTCTCTCACTGAAGAGAGGCTTTTGGGTTCCCTAAGTTCATTTAAAGAATATGGTCACGAACAAGTTACAAATTTGTAAGTCCTCAGAGTTCAAGAGCAACAAGACTGTGCTAGAACGTCAGTCCAATTCTAAATCCCAGAAAGAGGCTTCAGCTGGCCTAGGGTGAGTCTCACATGGATCCCTGTGTGCGTATGGGGTGGGGGTGTGTTCAGTTTGGGGAGATCCTAGAGGATGGTGAAGTCTGGTCATATAAAATCCACTACGATATATTTTGGTCCTCATTCCATGGTGGCACATTCTTTCTAAAGGCTATATAACAGTCCATTATATTTAATAAGTAACATTTTTAACAAACATTTAGATTGTATCCAGTTTTTCATTATTATAAACAATGCAGCAATGAACATTTTTGTGTTTTTCTTCGACTATCTACAATATCCACCACGGAACTTGGGGGTCTATCATGGAACTTGGGGATCCTAGGGTATATGCATATGAATTTTTCGCAAGTATTACTACACTGCCCCCTAAAAGGGTTATAACAAATGACACTTCCACATATACCGCATATTGCTATTCAAGTTTTGCCAAAAATTCATGTGAAAAAACGATATTTACTCATCTATTCAACGATAGGGGCCCTGGTAGCGCAGTGGTTAAGCATTTGGCTGCTAACCAAAAGGTCGGTAGTTCAAATCCAGCAACTGCTCCGTGGAAACCCTATGGGGCAGTTCTACTCTGTCCTATTGGGTCGGGATGAGTTGGGATCAACTCCATGGCAACAGATTTTTTATTCAAAGATATGTTTGATGGCTTATTCTGTTTGTGGCAGACCTGGCCCTAGAGCCCTGGGCTTATAGCAGGAAACAAAGTCCCTGCCCCCTAGGTGCAGTGATAATGAACAATTACAAAAGTAAATGTTAATGCTATGGAGAAAAATAAAGAAGGGTAAAGTGGTTGGGCAGCGCTGGAGTGGAGCTTGTTATTTTAATTGTGGTGGTGAAAGAGGAATCTAATAGTGACATTTGAGTTGAGACCTGGAGAACGTTAAAAGCCATGCAGACAAGTAGAGAAAAAGCACTCCGGCCCTGGGAGGTAGATTGCCTGGGGAATCCACGTAAGAGCACGGGCACGGTGGCTGGGAGAGAGTAAGCAAGGGGTAAAATGGTACGATAAGATCTAAAGGTAGGATCTACAGAATACCTTCACCATGATTGCAAGTAGCCTGCGTTGTTTGGTATAATAACAACAATACTAACAGTAAAAGGTCCTTTTGCAATTCCAACCTCCGCATCTCCACACTTGCCAAGAAAAGTACGCCCGGGAGCTCTACTCAATCAGTGCGTAACCTCTAGAGATCGCTGTAGTATCAGAATAAAAAGAATGCGCTCACTCATGACTCTGATCATCTATGGCCTAAACTAAGCCTAATCCGCGCTGGCGAGACCTGCCCGAAAACCTTTCTGACTCAGCTACCCGGGTCACCTCAGTCACTCTGCCAGCCACGCACCGCCGCGCGGGAGGCGCGCGTGCGCAGAGGCGCTGCACGGCCGCCGGCAGCCGGCGCACCGAGGGCCCCGCCCAGCCCGCCCGTGGGCGTGGGTAAGCCTGTCGCAAAGCCACGCTTCGGAAGCTGCGGCGGGCTGCCCCGTGAACGTGTCGCGGGAGCAACGCGCGTCGTAAAAAGTCGCGGTGGAGCTTCCCTACACTCCTCAGACCAGACGCTTTACGGTGCTAGTCACTTCCGAACTGGGAGATGTCGGCGGCCGGCTGGGCGGGGCTGCTGGGTCCTCCCGGAGACTTTGCGAAGCGGCTCCTGGTGACCGGGGGTGCTGGTTTCATGTAGGTAACGGCGCCGCTTGCTGGGCAGTGGTTCCCAGCAACCCCAACCCTTGCCTGGGGCGCTGCTAGCCCTTGGCAAGCTTCGGGAGTAGCTTTGGGTGTCTGATAGGGGGAGCACCCATACGACCCGGATCATCCTACTTTCTCCCCCGTCCTGGACCTCCGAAGACGTGGTTCCTTTGGAACTGCGACTTCTTTAAAACGCCCCCCTCCCAAAGCAGAAATAACTGTGGTACTATTCGCTCTCCTACCTGGCCTGGGCTTCTTACCACTTGTCACTTCTCTAAATGCGCCCACATTACTGTGAGCTCCTAACCTACAGCCTCCCACCCCCCGGTCACGCAGACTCGCAGCATATAGGCGCCCCCCCCCCATGATTTTTGAATTGTAAAGGCATTCATTTATTCAACAGATTAAAGAAAAAAATTGGTGCTTCTTTTCCTCACACACCCACGTTCCATCAGCAAGTACTCTACTTTCAAAGTGTGTTCTAAGGCGACCCCTTGTCACCACCCACCCCATTCTACTCTAGTTCATGTCGCCGTCTTTTGCCTTGACGACCGCAGTAGCCTCCTTGGGCGTACGATTTGTTTCCTTAGAGTCTAGTCTTCACACAGCAGCCAGTGTTTTTAGTGTGTTAGGTTTTACTTCGCTGATTCCTGTCAGACTGACTATAGTGCGAACGACTTACCACGCCTAGGAGACTGTGTCCTGGTGCCTGCACTATTCCAACCTGCTCTCCCACCGTCCTACCCGCTGCTTTTCTGTGCGTGCCACGCTTACCGTCTTCCTCCTCCTGAAACACAGCAGGCTTGTTCCTCCTGTCCTGAAGCCTTTGCACTTGCTTGCCGGTTTGCTGAGACTATTCATCACTCAGTTCAGAGAGGCTTTACCCGACCACCCTGTCCAAAATAACCTCTCTCTCTACTAACCGGTTTTATTTTTTTGTAACACTTATCACTACCTGAAATTGTTATTTATGTGTTGACTTGTTTATTGCCTGCGTCCCCACTCTAGAATGTAAACTCCATGAGGGCAGAGACTGTTCACTCAGCACCTGGAGGAATGCCTGGCCGGTTTTATAAAGACCTTCAGTAATTGTTGAATGGGTGAATGCATGAACAACAAATGGGAAACTCTCCTGCCTTCAAGGAACTCAACCTCTAGTGGAGGAAGAGGGAACATGGGGATCCTTTTATATTGCCCGTTAACATGTTCAGTCACCTCTTCTTATCTGACAGTCACTTGGAGGAGGTAATAAGAGCACGGGCACGAAAGGGTGGTAGATGAGTGAGAGGGCTGGTCCAGGAAGGCTGGGCCCTAGAAAATACCTTGAAAGGGCTGCCAGGTACAAACTCTGAGTTACCAATTTGGCCCTTGTTCCTGGGAGCCTAATGTTTTAGGTGCACGTATGCCCCTGGTTTCACTCTAGGGCACTCTGAAGCCCAGGAGTCAACTACGGATATACAACTCAGGATGGTTTCAGCCTTCACTAGCCTTGGAAACTTGAATTCGGTCTAGGACTCCCTTCCCCCACCCAGGATCCTGATTAACATTACCAAATTCTCAGACCAAGAGAGAGCAATTGCAGTAGAACTGCTGTGAACATAGGCAGCTATGTTCAGATGGACTTAATTTTTACATAATTTTACCTTCAGTCCCTAAAAAGGAACATTATGGTTTCAGCACAGTTGCCTTGACAACCACCTGTTGTAGGAGCCCGGGTGGCGCAGTGGTTAAAGTGCTCGGCTGTGAGCCGAAAGGTCAGCGGTTCAAACCCACCGGTGCTCTGTGGCAGAAAGATGTGGCAGTCTGCATCCGTAAAGATTTACAGCCTTGGAAACCCTGTGGGGCAGTTCTACTCTCCTATAGGGTTGCTATGAGTCAGAATCAACTTGACGGCAGTGGGTTTAGTTTTTTTTTTTTTTTTTTTTTAACTCCCACACTCAAGGTAGGCACAGACAGCATCATTTGGTTAAATGAATTATTTTCTTAGCCCTAATGGTGCAGTGGTTAGGAGCTCGGAAGGTTGGTAGTTCGAATCCACCAGTCACTCCTTGGAAACCCTACGGGGCAGTTCTACTCCGTCCTGTAGGGTTGCTATGAGTTGGAATTGACTCAATGGCAATGGGTTTAGGACCTGTAAATTCTCTTCTCCGTGGTCTAAAAGTAGTATAAGCTTTTGTGTATAGATACTGTTGAGTTTGGTGAGAACTGTGTATTCAGTGTAGCTGTATTCAGTTATCTTGGAAAAATTTATCTTTGAATATTTTCCTAATGTTTGATAAAGAAAAATAGAAGAACTTAGGGAGAAGGTTAAACTTTTCCACCAACAAATATTTTTTTCTTCTAGTGCATCACATGTGATTGTCTCTTTAGTAGAAGATTATCCAAACTATATGATCATAAATCTAGACAAGGTAAGTTTTATAAAAATGAGCTGCATGCATTGAAACTTCACTGAATTAAAAAAAAAAAAAAGAATCCTAGTGACACAGTAGTTAAGAGCTTGGCTACTAACCAAAAGGTCGGCAGTTCAAATCCACTAGCTGCTCCTTGGAAACCCTATGGGGCAGTTCTGCTCTGTCCTGTAGGGTCCCTGTGAGTCAGAAGTGACTCGAAGGCAGTGGGTTTGGGTTTGGGTTTATCACACTGATATTTCAGTTTTTTATTTAGTCATTTGAGCATCTCAGGGGCCTATATAGTCATGAGTTCAGGCTGATTTTACCTTTCACGAAGTTTTTTGAAACTTTTATTTATTATAGTAGTCCGTAAAGTAAATGTTTGAAGTACAGTATTTTTGCCAAAACAAAATCTTCTTTACCCTTTCTCAGTTCAACATTTAGTGTAGTCTTGTGGTTACTAGTCTTTTACTGGAGTTAGTACACGCCATATTATTTCATTTTATACCTGCCACCTCCTGGAAAATTATATAACATTTTTTAAAAATTAAAGTGCAATTAAATTTAGTTTTGAGAGTTTTGCAGTTGCAATTGGAGTCTCCCTGGAGAGCCTGAAAGCCATGATTGGTAATCACTGAAATGACTGTTGAGTTTAAACACAAGATGCAAATAGTCAACCTTAATTTCATAAACTAATAGTAAAAAATGTACAGGCAAAGAATAAGCTTCAAGTCTTATGAATTTTTGCCTGCCTTCCTATTATGGACAGAATTTTCTCCCCCATCTCTACACGTTACCAATAGTTAACTTAGAACAGGTATGATGAGTGGTACGTAACACAGGTGTAATTGTTTTCATTCACTAATTCTGTTTCAGTAAGAAATGGTAAATTCTTTTAGCCACCAGTGGCAGGAGACAAATCTGAAAACCGGGACATTTTTAAAGTAGTGATTTATAGAAAGTAATTTTTTTTTAATTTTGAAAAGATAACAAAATTACCTGTATTTTGTTTTTGACTTTTTTAAGATGTTACAAACTTAAAAACATAAAGAGTAAGCATATTGTAAGAGGACATGTTCGGTAGGAGTAATAGTCCACATGAACCACGGCCTCATCTAGCCTGAGACTAGAAGAACTAGATGGATCCTGGCTACCACTACCAACTGTTCTGACTAGGGATGCCATAGAAGGTCCTGGATAGACAGGGAGAAAAATGTAGAACAAAACTTAAATTCCTAAAAAAGGCCAGACTTATTGACTGATAGAGATTAGAGGAACCCTTGAGATTACTGCCCTAAGACACCCTTTGAACTTGGAGCTGAAGCTACTCCCGGTGGTCACCTTTCATCCAAATAATAGGTTGGCGTATAAAATAATCAATATCACCTGTGAGTACTGTGCTCACCTTGAGTAAACAACTACATGAGACCAAACGATCAACATTTATGCTGAAACAAAGATGAAAAGCTAAGGAGGGGCAGGGAAGCTAGATTAATGGAAACAGAACAAGCAGAATGGAAATAATGAGAATGTTGACACATTGTGAAGAATCTAACCAGTACTGTGGAACAATGTGTATAAAAATTGTTAAATGGGAACCTAATTTGCTATGTAAACTTTTACCTAAAATGCAATAAAATATTTTTTAAAGAGAACATGTTATTGTATTACAATCAGAATATCTATAGCGTTTCAGATAAATTGGTATTTTATAAGAAAAGTTAATATTTATGACTGTGTTGTTTCTCCCCTACTTTCTCATTTTAAGCTGGATTACTGTGCAAGTTTGAAGAATCTTGAAACCATTTCTACCAAACAAAATTACAAATTTATACAGGTATGAAAGTTTTCTTATAATTTTTGTGCCTGTTCAGTCACATGGAGATTATAGTATCTGCTTTACAAGCTTGTGAATACAGAATTGGGGAGGACACTTATTAAAGACCTTTTGAAAGATCAAGTAGTTTATTTCTAGAAGTAACATGTACTATAGAGGATACGATTAGATTGACACCACATAAAAAGCTACATGTGATTTTTGGTTTCTTGATAGATCTGTTAGTACCTGATTGAACTGACAAAGTTTGTGATGTTAGGTCCTCATTAGCCTCTTTAATAAGATCTTTCTGGGATTTGAGAGGATTGATGTAGGATGAGATGTTACTTGGAAAGAGCAGCCAATAGCCAAAAGTGTACCATGTAACTCATAGCTTGGTCTTCTGCCCTGAAAGTTGATTGGCTCTGGAGTGCTGATTCATACTGAACACTCTTAGAAGAGTCCAAAGTATAGAACAGAGTGCCAGTTCATTAATTTGCAAAGACAAATGTTACCGTCAGGTGAAACTATTTCTTGTGATTTATGTTTTATTTTTTAGAAGTGATCCTATTAACTTTCCTTTTAACCATAAAGCTTAAAGAATATACTAAGTAACCATTTCGTAATTCTGTTCTATATGAAAGTTGACTTCACTCACCAAAGAATTGTTGAGAAATTCATATTTTTATACGAATTAATGCACATATAAAATCAAAGGTACTCACGATTTTACTTAGTTTTTCAAAATACTATTCCATTTCTTACAGTTACTTTAAATATATTTCAATAAGGTTATCTCCAAATTTTTTTAAGAGTATTTTAAATATTTCTCTATTAGTATAGTGGCCTTAGGTTGGCAAGAAGGTTATTAAAAAACTAGAACAGTGCTTAGTAGTAGTTGGTGTTCAGTAAACTATTGTGTTGGACACTTATTTTCACAAATATTTTGAATTGAATATTTTTATATCCTGAGATGCTGGATAAATAGTTACTATTATACTTGAACACTTGGTTGAATTTTCAAGATATTCTCTGTAAGGTCCAGGGGGAGAGACTGGAGGGAATGTTGGTACAGATTGATTTTTTTCTTATCATTTTTTGTTCCTGTAGTAAAAATAATTATAATGAATGGAGTACTCAATGAAATTTCATTTTTTCATGTTTGCTTGTTTATATAGGGTGACATATGTGATTCTCACTTTGTGAAACTGCTTTTTGAAACACAGAAAATAGATATAGTACTACATTTTGCTGCGCAAACACATGTAGGTAAGCGTTGTTTTATGTTACAGTTACGATTGCCACATTTTTTCCCAGGGGCTAATTAGTTTGAATCAGAGTCCAGCAGTGGGGTTGAATAAGTAAGTGCTTAATGAAGTAAGTACTTAATGTACATCTTTGAAAGACGATACACCATGCTCTACTGGAAAAATACACCTGTGGTCACTGCGTTATCAATATACTTCGTGCTTTTTAGATTACTTTTATTAGTATATAGGCTGAAATGTAACCTTGAATGCCATCTTGAAACTTTGAATTTAACTAAATTCAGGATAGTGATTACTTCTGAAGGGGAGGAGGAGTATAGCCTTCAACTGTATTTTTATGTTTTTTTTTTTTAAGCCAGGTGGTGAGTATACAGATGAACATTGTATCAGTGTCTATACCATTTTGTGAATCCGAATTGTTTTCTAATAATTGGTCTAACATCTTATATTGTAAAATATGTATCCAGAATAATTTAGAAGTATAGTTAAATACTGATGATGTAGCCATCATCCAAACAAAAGAATCCCCTTTAGTAGTAGTATACTATTGCCCATTGCCTGATTTTAAAGGAATCATTTCCTTTGCTTTTCTCCATAGCAGTTTTGTGCCTATGTATTTATTCCTGAACAATATAAGTTAGTTTTGCGTGTTTTTAAACTTCATAGGAACGTATATGTAAAACTATATGTGGGTTTTTTGTTTTGTCTTGGTCAACGTCTGTGTAGGTTCACCCACGTAGTTGCATGTACGTGTAGTCTGTTCATTTCCAGTGCCATTCTAAGAATATACCACAGTTATTTTACTGTCAGTGGACATTTAGGTTGTTTACACTTCTGGGCAATTTTGAACAGTACTACCATGAACATGATACATGTATCTTGAACATGAACATGATACGTGTACTACGAAGGTACATGTATCTTGGTACACACAAGCACACATTTCTGTCAGATATATAGCTAGCATCACAAGATCTGCATACTTCAACCTTGTGATAACGTTAAACTCTTTTCCAAAGTAATTGTACCAATTTCCACTCCCTCAGAGGGGCGTTGTCTTAGGCATCTAGTGCTGATATAACAGAAATACCACATGTGGATGGCTTTAACAAAGAGAAGTTTATTCTCTCGAGAGTCCAGCAGGCTACAAGTCCAAATTCAGGGCGTCAGCTCCAGGGGAATGCTTTCTCTGTCAGCTCTGGAGGAAGGTCCGTATCATCAGTCTTCCCTTGGTCTGGGAGCTACTCTGCAGAGGAACGTCAGGTCCAAAGGGCGAGCTCTGCTCCTGGCACTGCTTTCTTGGTGGTATGAGGTTCCCATGTGTTTCTGCTCACTTCTCTCTTTTATATCTCAAAAGAGATTGGATTAAGACACTATCCAATCTTGTATACCTCATCAGTAAACTGCTGCTAATCCATTTTATTAGATCATAGTGATTGAATTTACAACACATAAGGAAATCACATCAGATTACAAGATGGTACACAATTATACAGTACTGGGAATCATGACCCAGCCAAGTTGACAGATATTTTTGGGGGACACAATTCAATCCATGACAGGCATGTATGAGACTCCCTGTTGCTCCAGATCTCACCAAAGCCTGGTATTGGCAGACTTTTTCATTTTTGCCAATCTGAGTGGTATGTAGTAGGATCTTACTGTGGTTTTAAGTTGCATTTCCCTATTGCTAAAGAGGCTGAGTACCTTTTATGTTTATTAGCAATTCTTTTAAAGTGAATTTATTTTAAAGTAATTTATCCAGCATTTGTTATTGTTTTCAGCAATATCTGAAAAACCTAGTCCTCTGCTAGAGAAAACTGGAAGTTTCATACTATTTTAAAATTTAAGAACATTTTACATTTAGATGTATCACTACTTATTTTCTTCTTTTTATAATGAAAAATGTGTGCTGCAAATTTAGCACTGATACTTTGCTAGGTTCTAAGAATTTACATAAAAGAGCCCTAGTGGCGCAATGGTTAAGTGCTCGGTTGCAAACTGAAAGGTTGTCGGTTCAAACCCGCCAGCAGCTCTGCAGGAGGAAGATGTGACAGTCTGCTTCTGTAAAGATTTACAGCCTTGGAAACCTATGTATTTTAAGTTTAAAGAAGTGACGAATACGATGCAGTTGTGCTTGTTTTCTAAAATGACTGTAGCTGTGGTGGATGAAGACCAGTGCATAGTGCTGACCTTAAACCTGTGTAGACTGTCGGTTATTTGTTTTGTCCCTTGGGTGGCTGGTTTTAGCTGTTTTTTCTTTTTACCCAGATCTTTCGTTTGTACGTGCCTTTGAGTTTACATATGTTAATGTTTACGGCACTCACGTTTTGCTAAATGCTGCTTATGAAGCCCAAGTGGAGAAGTTCATTTATGTCAGCACCGATGAAGTGTATGGAGGCAGTCTTGATAAGGTAAGTGTAGACAATATGTGTCTCACTTCTTTGCCATGTACTACAATAAAATCTGTTTTATTAAAACCTACTCTGGGCTTTTTTCATTCTCTAACTATACAAACTTGTGAGAATCTCAAAAATGTTAACTCCATTGTCCCTTCTGTTCAAATAAAATGCTGCCACCCCAAATGGGGAACAGCAGCCTAGTCTTGTACTGGTTTTTACATCACTTGACTGATGATATTTTGCAAGAGAGCAGCAAATCTCACCTGTTTGTCTGTCTTACACAGACGATGAACATCCTTTTCATGGCCAAGCATAAGTAAGTTAGGCTGCAGCGTACTTCCTGCCGTGGTACTGGCTGCAGCTGCTCACCTTTCCCTCCTGCTCAGGAAGGCATATTGGGATGCCCAGGAGTGAGTGTGGAATTATTGTAGAATCTAGAATCTGCTCTTTAAAAAAAAAAAAAAAAATCATTCCTAAATGTATTTTCATGCCCACCCCCCAAAAAAAATGCTCCTTTCTCCGGTCTTTTTTTTCCATAGCATTTGCAGTGACTTCATTTTGTTTTAGCTTTTAGTTTTTTGTTGTGTTTTTTACCAAGTACATGTACATAGTAAAAAAAAAAAATCAAATAGTTCACAAGACTTATAACGAGAAAAAAACAAACCCTAATCACTTCTCCTCAAACCACGTCTTGCTTCTGAGAAGCAACCATATTCAAATCCTGTTGCAGTTTTTATCAGGTGAGCTGCTTCTTGTACCCTTCCCACCCTACTGCAGCTCTGCTACAGTGGGCAGAAGGAAAGTTTTAACACATAAGTCAGATCGTGGCTTCACTGTGCTGAGAACATACAGTGGCCTCCAGGTTTGGCGCATTCTGCCTCCCTCTGACCTCTGCTCCTGTCTCTCCTTCCCAGGGTAACTGTTACAGCCACACAGCCCTCTCTCCTTCCCCGGGTGACTGCTGCAGCCACACAGCCCTCTCTCCTTCCCTGGGTGACTGCTCCAGCCACACAGCCCTCTCTCCTTCCCCAGGTGACTGCTCCAGCCACACAGCCCTCTCCTTCCCTGGTGACTGCTCCAGCCACACAGCCCTCTCTCCTTCCCTGGTGACTGCTCCAGCCACACAGACCTCTCTCCTTCCCCGGCTGACTGCTCCAGCCACACAGCCCTCTCTCCTTCCCCGGCTGACTGCTCCAGCCACACAGCCCCTCGCTTCTGGAGACATTCTCTGCCTCACGGCTTTACACTTGCTGCTCTCTCTGCCTGGCTCACAGGGCTGTTATGGGGATGAAAGAAGTTATTTATTCCTTGTGAAGTGCTTAGAAAAACGTCAGGCACATAATTGGGGCTCAGTAAGTGGTTTTTAAAATGTAGTGATTTCTAGTTAGAAATTATACATAAGACTTATTTTTGAAATATGTCTTTTTAAAATTAGGAATTTGATGAATCTTCACCCAAGCAACCTACGAATCCCTATGCATCATCTAAGGCAGCTGCTGAATGTTTTGTACAGTCTTACTGGGAACGGTACAAGGTAAGAGCTGATTCCAGAAACTTTGGAATCTTTTTTATTTTGGACGTCAGTGTTAAACTCCAAGTTAGCGTTAGCAGTATTTCATTTTTAGCTTATAAGATGTATATTGTGAAAAGTTATGTGTTACGGATTTTTAAAAAAACAACTCATTTCCTATACTGTGTAGACAAAGTAGGACCTACCTCTTGTTCTGCTCGTAATTTAAAGGAACAATTTGTATATACTTTTCTTCTTCTTCAGTAATAGGTAGAGTGTTACGGTTACAATGAACGTCCGTTTGGAATTTCCTGGCTCCCAGGACTCCTGTGAGTGGAGGAAGACAGAGAGGGATGATTCACTTAGCTGCAGGGCTCCTTACTGTGTGATTCTGTTCTCTTAGTTCCTCTTGGATGGGAGGTGGACTTGCCATGAGGGCGCCGCCCATGAGGTAGCCTTAGCCATGTGAATCGTCCACTCTAAGTCCCTTCGTTTGGCTTTCCACTCATCTCTTCTGGAGGTAGTAGGGATGGGTCAGAAAGGCAAGCCGAGCGATGAATTACGATTCTCTTGCCTATTGTCTTCCAGCGACATTGGTCCCTTTCCCCTTCCTGGCAGCTCTTTTTGTTTGTAAGGGTTGGTACAAGAGAGAGCCAGCTGGAAGTTAGCATCTAACCAAACCCATAATCCTAGAGGTGGTCTTTGAAATAATCAAGTGGAAACCTCCCCAGTTTTTCGCCACCAAACCTGCAAACCTGCTTCCATCCATCCTCATCCTCCCCTTGTCCCAGTGGAGAGAATGGTCTTCTGAGTACTTTTGGAACCTCTGCCTTTATCTGAATCCCATCCTCTCCTGTCTTGTCTTACAGCAGAAACAACCCCTTCGCTTCTCTCTGTAAGTTGTGTGGAGTTATTTTAGGCAAAGTCACCCATATTTTAAAATTCTCTCTCTTTAAAATAAGCGTTACTATTGGACCTTTCCCTTACCCTAACGTTGAATATTCTTTAAGTTTCCAGTTGTCATCACAAGAAGCAGTAATGTTTATGGACCACATCAATATCCTGAAAAGGTAAATTTTATTTCTAAATTCCTAGTGGTTTGTAAATGATTGTAATTTTTCATTATTTAAAATCATCATTCTTCAGTTATTTGTCCAAAATAATTTGTTATAGTTATATAGAATTATGTGCTGTACAGGCCACATGCAGATTTCATCACACTTAGAGTTTGAAGACTTGAGTTTGTCTCAGCCTGACAGCTTACCAGGTGGTGTGACTTGAGGCCCTTTGAACTCTTCTTTAAATTAGGGGGAATGATCATACAGAGAAAGGTGTCTTGAGGTCCCACTGAGATGATGTATTTGAAAATGCCTTGTAAACTCTAAAGCACTACAGAGTACCACCATGGTACCATCACGGTGCAAGGGTGATGCTCAGTTTGCAATCAGACCAGTATGTCAGGATGTACAGAAATTTGAAAGCTAGTCAAATAGTAATGCAGGAAGCTTGTCCGTGAATTTGTCTTACAATTACCTGGTTTACTGTGTCCGACCCATTTTTATTGTTGGGGCCTGAATGTCTTCCAGAAAGTCACGCAAAGTAGTAAATAGAATAATGCAGTGAAAGGCTAAAATGCCTGTATAGTTGGTTCTGTATCATTAGACACAGTTTTAGTTAACTGTCACCTGCTCTACCTAAATTTGGAGACTGGGTTTTCTCACTTCCCGACTGTGTAGATCTTACTGCCCAAAGGAAAGGACCGTATCATGATCTGCTGGTATTAATAACTACTTTGCCTAATTTTTGGAGTCTTTTTAAAAAGATTCATTATAAATTTAGTAATTTCTTATCTTTTCCTGATGAACATAGTTGTTCTTTGAATCCAAGGGCACTGGAATCACCTTTCATTAAGTCCACAAGTACTTACCGAGTAGGCACTAGGTATAAAGCTCTAAGTAACTTGTGATTCCTACCGTTATAAAATCAGTGGGTGAGGTTTGTGATGCAGGCAAACTGTTCATGAAGATTTCTGTAAAATTTTCCACTATTTTTATCATTTTATCTTCACATTTAATCCTCACATTTATCTAGCAGATAACTGGGTTGGTGAAACAGGAAGGTATCTTAGAGTTATTTTACTTATCAAATATTATAGTAGATTTTTTTCTTAAACTCCCAATAAAAAGAATCAGAATTTATTCATATGTATATTTCTTAATAATAGTAATAATCTTATGCCAAGTTCAGATTCATATTATTGTATGACTTTCCAGAATCTGAAATGATACTTAAATATTCTTTCAGGTTATTCCAAAATTTATCTCTTTACTACAACACAACAGGAAATGGTATGTTATTTACCTTTGTCTCACGTGCTTTTCTGGTTTGTTGATTGTATTTGGTGACGGTCTTTCTTGAAAATTATAAAGTCTTAGAGTTGGAGACCATAAAATTGAATGTGCCACCAAATATAAGAATTCCTTCCACATTCACTGTATTAGTTTTTTTTTTTTTTAATAATAAATGTAACTCTGTAACTTGTATTTATAGTTTACTTAGATAATTTCTACTCTTAAATTGTCTGTCATAGAACTTTGAATTATAGCATCAAAATTTGGCATCTGTCTTTATGTAATTTTACTTTTTTAAAGGATTTATTTAATTCATAGAACTTTAAATATTTCCTCAAAATGAATTCATGGCATAAAATTATGAATAAATACTTTTCAGGGACCACTTATACGTTTGCTGCTTTTTTGCTGAATACTCTCAGGAAGTTTGGGGGTCATTCAAGAACTATGGGTGAAATTCAGAAAAGTCTTGAGAACTGTGTTTCCAATAACGGATTTCTAGGATCCGCGTGGGAACTGCCTGCTCTGGAGTTGTGCCCAGTTTTTCTTTCCCCTGGTTTGAGTCCATTTCATGTAATCTTTTTAGCTGCATTCATGGATCAGGACTTCAGACAAGAAATTTCCTTTATGCTGCTGATGTAGTAGAAGCATTTCTCACTGTCCTCCAAAAGGGGAAACCAGGTGAAATTTATAACATTGGAACCAATTTTGAAATGTCAGTTGTACAGCTTGCTAAAGAACTAATACAGCTGGTATGTATATATTTTAAAAGAGTAATATTTTTAAAATTGTTACTAAATCAGTACAGTAGTCACTAATTTAGTCAAAATCAACAGTTTATAGTTTACTCAACTTAAGAGTGGGTAGAAAATGAAATTCATAATGATTCACACCATATGTATGCTAAGACGTATCGGTTGAGGTTGTGTCACTTGTTTAGTAACAGTTTTTCAAGAAAAAAATAAACCCAAATACATTAAGTGTACATACCCATTGTCAGGCACTCCTCGATTTCAGGAATACAAAGCCGTGTGTCCTAGAATCAAGAAACATATATATCAAGGAACATGAGATAAGAAATAATTACAGTGGTAAATGTAGATGTGTATTAGTGCCCATCAATTATAAAATCAGAATTCCAAAGAAAGAGTGACTGAGTAATAAACCCAAAAGCCAAAAAATGTCATGTCTCCCATAGTTTATAAAATGTATATTCTTTTTGAGCCTCAGATGGAATTTGAGTTATAAAATACAGAAAAATGTTATTCCTTATAGCTGTTTCCCCACCTTTTAGGAGGTTGTCTTCTCCCCCTTTTTAATCAGCTATTAAATACTGTTGTTGTTCTCTGGTCTTGTTTTATAATTTGACTCAAAAGCCTTCTCCATTTTGACAGATCAAAGAAACCAATTCTGAGTCTGAAATGGATAACTGGGTTGATTATGTTAATGATAGGTGAGTAATAAGTTTTACAAGGTCCAGGAAAGGTTGTGAAATCTTAGGTACTTATAAAATTATAGAATAGATGGACTGAAAACTAGTTTTATCACGAGTTTCTGTTAAAAATTTTTCCCTTAATTATAAATGTAATACAAAATTAACTGTGAACCTGTTACTTAATAGTTATGTAACTTAAAGAATATTGTTGACCCTTTCCAAGTATGAGGTTTTCTCAGGAATGATGATATTTTCTTTCCAAAAGTATTTTCAGGATTAATTATAATGTGTGTAAAGTATCTGACCTAGGGCCTGGCACATAAGAGTCCTTATAAATGTATGTGTATTTATTCGTTATTCAATTGCCAAGTGTTTAATGAGTTTCTTCTGTGTGCCTGGCACTGTACACATAACCTAGATCGTGGCTGAAATAAGGATAAACCACAGAGGGAGTTTAGGCATCTGGGATTATGGATGATTTATATAAATAAACAAATATATATATATATATATATATATATATATATATATATATATATATACACACTTTCTTTATTTTTCAAAGTTTTTACCATGAGCGTGTCATCAGGGCGAATTTTTTTCAAGAAAATTTTGAATTATGGTAAAGATGTAAAGACACAGTATTTATTTTACTGTTTAAATTTGTAAATATATTTTCACAATGTCATTTTAAATCTGTTTTGTTTGCCAAGACCTACAAATGACATGAGATACCCAATGAAGTCAGAAAAAATACATGGCTTAGGATGGAAACCTAAAGTGCCTTGGAAAGAAGGAATAAAGAAAACAAGTATGTTATGAATTGATAACTTTTTTGGGGGGGAACAGAAAGGTTAAGAAAAATTTGAAGGAATGGTAATTTATTTTTAGACTACTATACAAATACAGCAGAATATTGTGATGACTCATTTTCACTTTTCAAATTGTTGCATTTAATATATTTCTAGCTATAGTAATGCTTCCTAAGCATCTGGAATTTCACTAATTTCTTATCGGTCTTCTTATATCTTATTAACCCACTGCCGTCAAGTCGATTCTGGGTAATAGTGACCCTATAGGACAGAGTAGAACTGTCCCATAGGGCTTCCATGGAGCGGCTATTAGATTCGAACTGCCAACCTTTTGGTTAGCAGTCGAACACTTAACCACTGCTCCACCAGGGCATATATCAGATACCTACTTCATTGATTCTGAGGTGTACATTTTTTTCACATCCCTGAAAGGTATGTGTTTTACAATCACTGGTGTCTTATAATTATTACTGGCAGTTTTTTTTTAGTGGTTAGTAGAAAAATGGTCCATTTTAAGATTGGTGGCATCTTAGATTTGTTGAAATGTGGATAATTATGGTCTTTGCATGTCTTGAGTTTCTTTTGTATTGAAACAAATAAATAGGAAACAAGTTCATTATTTGCAGAAAAATCTATTAAAATAAGTGTATAGACTGTGCATGTATGTTAAAGCTCTATTTAGAAATATACTCAGAAAATTTTCTACAGGTTGTAGAAAAAGGTTTTGATTCAGACCTTGAATTACTTGTATTGAATTTTAAAATACAATTGAATGATAATTTTTAAACTGTCAGTAATTTTTGTCACTAAAACATCCTTTACCGATAGCTTAGCAACATAAAATGATGAGCTGACATGGTAGAAGGAAGCTCTTTTCATCTCACTGTGCCTGATACAGTATTACCATATTCACAGGAGCAAAATATTACACTTTTTTTTTCTAGAAAATACCTTCAAAAGCAGTGTTAATACTAAAATGCAAAGGACCCATATCCCCCCACAAATTCCCAAAAATCAGAATTTGTCTTAAACACTTATGCCAGCAAATCTAGTATTGAAGGACTTTTGATGCTAAAAAGAAAAAAGGTTGATTTTTTTTTTTAAAAATTGTGTTTTTGGTGAAAGTTTTCACAGAAAATTAAGTTCTCACTTAACAGTTTCTATGCAAATTATTCAGTGATATTGGTTATATTTTTCACAATATATCAGCGTTCTCATTATTTCCATTCTGGTTGTTCTGTTTCCCTTATTCTGGCGTCCCTGTTCCCCCTTACCTTCTCCTCTTTGGTCTAGGGAAAATGTTTGCAGTTTGGTTTCATTTAGATGATTATTTAGAGAAGCACAGTACTCGGTGATATTATTTATTTTATGGGCCAATCTGTCAAAAAAGGTTAATTTTTAATTCTAAATCTTTTAGATGATAAAATGTCTTTTGATTAACTTCATTGTTTAAGTCAGAAGCAAATTGTTTCTGTCCTTCAGCAACTCTTGTCTGCTGATTAGCTGATGGGCAGGCCCATCCGTGCAGCCTGAGTTGCCTTTTGTCTAACAGGAGCTCAGTAAATGTTACCTGTGTTTACTTCTCATGTTTCCTTTTTGTTTTTTTCCTGTCAGTTGAGTGGTACAGAGAGAATTTTCACAACTGGAAGAATGCGGAAAAGGCACTAGAACCCTTCCCAGTACAATCAGCATGTGTATAGTCAGGACAGTTTTTGGAGAAAGAAGAAAATTATCCTACCTCGACAAGTGATAAGAAATCAAGTGACCAAATTAAGTATCCTCTTTTTGCTTGGAATTAGATTCATGACTTACTGTATAAAATATAAACACAAAATCCTTCAATATTTGGAAGTTTTAGTATTAGCACAGGATTTAAATATGAAAATTCTTTCAGAAACCTTTTATCCTAAAAATTAGGAACCAGGAGACATAGAAAGACGACTCCTTACAGGTGGGTTGGGAGTGGAGAGTCTCCCAGTTCTGAGAACAGAGACGGAATTAAACTGGGCAGATGGCAGCCTTTCCTGCTATTGATCTCAGTGAGCTTCCAACCACACCTTTCCCACTGCCTAAAATTCTCTTTTAAGTTTTCATTTTTAGGCAATATAGGGTGAGCTTTATGCCCCAATTCACCTTTTTTTTTCTTTAAGGTCATGTTTTGCTATACAGGCAGTCCCTGGGTTACAAATGTCCGACTTACGTACAACCCGTAGTTATGAACCAACTCCTGCAAAGCCTGTTACATTAAAAATTCAAGATACATACAGGGGCTCTTAATAACAAATGAGCACTACTTCGCAGTGCTCATCAAAACATTATTATTATTACTGTACTATTATGTTAAAAATGTTTTAGTGTATCTGGAAGGGTTTCTTTAATGTTTTTTATGCATAGAAAGGCACACTATATACTATGACAAGCATTTGACTAACTAGTGTTAGATATGAACTGTACCTAACTGTTCCAACTTATGTACAAATTTGACCTGAAGACAGATTAAAGAATGGAACTCATTCGTAATCCAGGGACTGCCTGTGATTCCTTTAAAAATGAAATGGAAGCATATTCAGCACTTTTTGATATTTTTGTAAAATCAAGTTACATGTTTTTAAAAGATGAATGTAAAGTTATATTTTCAAAATCATTGTTGAAATATGTATAAGTAACCTTGTATCAGAAATTTTATCATGTATTTACTGTTTAAAATTTTATTTATAAACTTGTCAGTATTTTAATGTATTTAATGCATACTGTGGCTTTTTTTAGTAACATCTTTTATTTTGCTGTAGAAAAATAAAAATACTTGATCATATATATATTTACTCCTCTTTGCCTTAAAGACTCTAAAGTAACTTGAAAAAGGAACTGATTGAATATTGGGTTAAGAAAGGGGAAGAAGTCAAGGCTTTCTGGCTTTAGTGTGTGGGTAATGACTTGTTTTCTCTGAAGTAAGAAGGAAGATCATTAACTAAGAGGTGGTTGGAATAGGGAAATAGGAGTGGAGTAGGGGTTTCAGGTATGTGGAGAGTGGGAGAAGAGTGAGCAGATATGAAATCAGTAAGGATTTGCCAAACAGGAATGAAACATAAACTGAAGTTGAACACTGTAAATTTGAGTAGAATCAGAATTCTGAAATGTGTGCTTTTCTTTAACAGTGTTCAGTAACTTTAGATGTGGGTGAAGAAAATATAGATAGATAGAACCAGAATTGGGCATAGTACAAGTCAGGTAGGGCAGAAGGACTGAAGAGTTGAGAGTGAGAGAATGATTAAAATGATGCTCCATGGGTCTTGACTATGGAGGGAAGAAAATGATTCTAGAAGGGAGCCTATTGTGCTGGAGAAAAGCGGGAGGGGGAACGTGGAGTAAGAGGAGGTAAGAGCTCAGGGAGGCTAGGAAGCTATAGGCAAAAAGTGGGAGCAGGTAACACTTGGCTTCCATCCTGGTGACTAATCCAGCTTCCATTCCGGTAGTCGTGGCAGGTCCTTATTCTATGTCGATAAAGGTTTTGGAAGTCCTTCAGATTCTTTAGATTGGAGCATCTATGAGACAAACCTCTCTCTCCATGTTATTGACTATCTACAATAGCTTAATTTCAATGAATATACTAAACAAAATACCTGACTTCTATAGGATGAAAAAGGGTAAAAGGGAGAAGGAGATCCCATTCTATAGAACATAATTTCGTTCAGTGAAATACAGGCTAACAAGAGGGCATCTGTGTGGAGTTAGAGTTCAGATGCTTTTGATCAGTGGAGGGGACCACTTCCTTCTCTACAAGTGTCAGTTTGAACTAAGTAGATGTTTTGGAGGACTGGAGTGGAGTACATTCCTCCATATGTGTGTCCTAGGTCATTTGTTCTTGCACATATTTCTGTGTACACTTTTATTTCTAACTTTAGTGTACTCGGTATGACTTACTGTCTTAGTCATCTAGTGCTGCTCTAACAAATACCACAAGTGGATGGCTTTAACAAAAAAAATTTATTTCTTCACAGTAAAGTAGGCTACAAGTCCAGATTCAGGGCTTCAGCTCCAGGGGAAGGCTTTCTCTCTCTGTTGGCCTTCTTATCAATCTTCCCCTGGACTAGGAGCTTCTCCGCGCAGGGACCCCAGGTTCAAAGGATGTGCTCTGCTCCTGGCACTGCTTTTCTGGTAGTTTGAGGTTCCCCCAACTCTGCTTGCTTCCCTTTCCTTTTATCTCTTGTAAGAAAAGGTGGTGCAGGCCACACCCCAGGGAAACTCCCTTTACATTGGATCAGGGATGTGACCTTAGTAAGGGTGTTA